TCTTTATGGAACTTTTAAAGAACAAAATTAAAAAAATGTGAGCAAGTAGCTCCCTGTATCCCTCTGTCCATCTCCCCGTCTGTCCGTTTGTCCATCCGTCCACCCACCCACGCATGCCGAGATTATTCCGTCATCACAATAAATGGTAAGAATCATTTTGAAGAAGGACCAGCTGCTCTCATTCTGGAATGGGCCTGCGGTACCCGAAGTGGAGTGTGTCACCGCGACACAGGACACACAGGGTTGCCAAGTCAGACGCATGCCCTTTGAACGGTTTGTGCTCTCCCTGACACGTCTACTGTCAGCCTGGACTAGAACCTCCTTCCTCCACAGTCCGCAGACCCGGCATCTCCTCACTGCCCCCTCCCCTTGTCACAGGTCATGCTCTGACACGGTCAAACAGCTGTCACGTCCGTTTCCCGTTCACCTGAGTGTGCTGTCTCAGTGCCAAACCATGGAGGAGGCCTGGCAAATCCCATAATTCAGGTCATGGGTCACTTCCGGAGGTTCCGCCTTCTTCCATTCCGATGGAACAATGACCGGTGGACACACTGGAGAGAGGCTGAGTCCCTCTTTTGGGTCGAACCACCCAGAATGAAATGCCCAGTGCTGGCCGCTGAGAGCAGCTCTAGCTTCTCCAGCGTGCGCAAAAGCAGGGAAGAAACGTGGCCTGAAGAGCAAGTGGCCACCCCGCCCCTGCGCCGCCAGCTGGCTTTGCAACGAAACTGGAAAATGCTGATTCTCTGGTACCCCCCCCCCAAGATTCTAACTCTGTGGGCTTGGGGGTCCGGGAATCGGTTTTTCACAGGCGCCCTAGACAACCCCCACTCTCAGAGAGAACTCTGAGCTGTGGTCGTCGAGGGCTTTGAAGGAGCTGGAGTTTCCCTCGAGATGATGGAATCCGAGGAAGGTTCAGGTGAGTTGAGTGGTGGGACGCAGAGCCACACTTTAGGAGGTGGGACCCCACCAGCCCCGGCAGATGGAGCGACCAGGTGACCAGTGCAAGGACAAGGGCACACCCAAGCGACAGGTGCCCTGAGCAGGACCCAGAGCAAGAGGCGCCCCCAAAAGACTGGGTGTTGCCTGTAGACATCATGGCCAATGGTAACGAGAGTAAAGTAATTCATTGTCAAGTACAATGTTTTCTGTTACTATTTGATTGATTCTGATGGGTCAGGCCTTGGGCTAGAACTATATATATATCGGGATGAATCTTTTAATCAATGACCTTTGGACTGATGTACCAGCTGTCATACTCCATGTGGAGGAGATGAGAGCAGCGTGCCTGTCAGCTCATTTGGTTGCTCCCAAGGGGAACATTCCACTGTAAGCCCTCCTATCTGTCCCTTGTGACTGGCTTCCAGCCACCAGCGCTCGACTCGGAGGTCTTTGTGCTGCTGTTTTCTCTTTGCAGGCATGGTGGTGTTCCTTCTGCAACTGCCGCGGAAAAAAATAAGCATACGTGTCTTTTGAAATCCTAAACTGAGCATACTACAAAAGACAGTGATTTACACACACGAGGCTCATAATCAGCCATGCCTTGGAAATGATACAAACCTACTAAAGCAGCATCGTAAACGAGGCTGCCGCGTAACATCTGTTTTCTCTGATACACTCAATTAAAAATAAGCTGCCATAAAAAGATCGGCAAAGTGTAGCTGTAACTAACTAGCTAAGCCTAATGTCCCAAGATTTAAATTGAATGTGTATAAGGATGAATACTGCTGGCCGTTAATGACAGAGAGTCAAAAAGCGGACATTCAGTACCAATGTCAATGGCTCTGACCGGGTAGCTCAGTGGTTACAGTGCTGTCCTGATACACCAAGGTTTCAGGTTGAATACCCCATCAGGGTGCATGCAAGAATCAACCAATGAACGCACCAGGAAGTAGAACAACAAATCAGTGTCTCTCTCTCAAAATATGTGAATATTTTTAGAAGAGCTTATCAAAAAACCTCACGTTTACCCTGGAAATTCTTGCCATTTCCAGGAGGTCGGCTGTTGAACGTCCCAATAGTAGCTGTGTCCATTCAGTTTCTCAGGACTAAGCCCCAGGTGGCAGCCACCCAGCCAGGGGCTGACTCCCACAGCAGAGGCGGCAGCCGGGTTAGATTTACTTAAAAAGCGTTCTTTACTTAGTAAAACTGTTGTCAAACAATGCTGTAGTTTAAACACCCTTCCCCGAAACAGAGACGTTACATTGTGCAAGAAGCGTACATTCCAGAATCATTTCCTGTTGGATCGCAAAACTATTTTAAGCTGACGTGTTCCGAAGGCGGCTCACTCCCCAAGCCTTCTGACCCGCGGAGCCACAAAACGCTCTTCACCTCCTGGTTTTGTGAAGGCCCCTTTTTTTACTTAGCAACGTCAAGTGCAACAAATCCTCCTGTTCCTGTTAAAGACAAACTGCTTTTTATTCATCGCTCTGTATGGTACAGAACTGGTCAAACCAACGGCAGCGTGCTTGTTAGAACTTGGCCTTCTTATCAGTCTCCAATAAGCTGAAAAGCTGCCTCCACGTTTGGGGAGGGGGAAAAAAAAGAAACAACTGCCCTCTTGTGGGGACCGTTGTCATTGCTTCTGTCCCAGAAATCCAATGCACTGAGTTACTGCACTTGAGAAACGAGTGAGGTTCTCCTTTTACCCAGGAGCCCGGGGGAGTCTGGACACATACCTGGGTCAAAGCTGATCATCGGAATCTCACGCCGCATCGCATCTCATCCAGGTGGTACAGGTGCCAAACACCGCGCCTTACTTACAAGATCCCGTTGATGAGGATCTTGATGGTGTCCGGGGCCCAACGGGGCTTGCGGTCTCAGACGTGTTTACCTGTTTATTCCTTTAGAAAGCCCAGTTGTAGTAAAGTACGTAATATGAATTTCCTGCCTTGACCCGTGTTCGTGGCACAGCTCAATCCAGTGTGTTCACAGCGCTGGCGGCCCTCAGCACCGTCTGTCTCCAGAACTCTTGCGTCTCCCCACACGGACACTCTGTCCCTGTTAGACACCAACTCCCTGCCCTCTGCGCTCTCAGCCCCTGCTCCCACCGTCCTGTGGCCCCTCATAGAAGTGGAATCATACGTGTTTGTCTTTCTGTGACTGGCTTATTTCACTTAATATCATGGCCTTGAGGTTCATCCAGGCTAAAGCAGGCGTCGGAATGTCCTTCCTGTTTAAGGCAGAGTAATATTCCGTTGCGTGGACGGACCCCATTTGTTTATCCACTCATCCGTCCACGCGCATTGGGGTTGTGGCCACCTTTTGGCTGCTGTGAACGTGGGTGTGCAGGTATCTCTTCAAGACCCTGCTTTCAGTTCTTTGGGGTGTGGACCCAAACTGTGGGGGCACGGGGTAGTTCTATTTTTAATGCCTCGAAGAACTGCCCTACTGTTGTCTGCGGGGGTTGCGCCATTTCACGTTTCCAGCCACAGGGCACAGGGGTCCCATTTCTCCACGTCCCCAAAAAAGACATTTTTAGAACCATCCTTCACATAGAACAAAGAAAACTTTAAAGTCATTTTATTGAGTCTTGCAAAACATCTTTAAACAACGAAAAATAAGAAACTATTACAGAAGTTCAAATAGTCACAATGATAGCAAGTAAGAGAGCACAGAATTTAGGTCTCACTATGTGAATTCAATTATTTGCTGTCATGCCAAGAATATAATGCCCTTCCTCCTAAAAAATTGCTTCCACGTGTTCACCTTATACAGGGCTTCTGGACTTGGGGTAGTGTTAACAAGAAATCAGCATTTTAAGAATTGGAATTGAATTAACCAGATGGGAGAAATTCTTTCACAGTGTAGACGCGTATTGAATCACCATGATGTGCACTTTTGTGTCTTACAATTGTATCTGTTGATTAGACCTCAATGAAGCTGAAAAAAAAAAATTGAATCTAGGGCCTACCATTGATTTTAAAATATGGGGAGAAAAATTCAGAGCAAAAGCAAGTGCTGAGCTAAGAAGAAAAATATGACTCTTTATAAAGATGGGGACTCGTTCATTTTAAGGACTGGAGACATTTCACATCCTGCTCCAAGGTGGGCAAAGTCTCTCCAGTTGGTGAAAAAAGAGAAATAAAAGAGAAATACTCATAGTGCATAGGGTGGTATAAAAAAAGTACAAATTCACGTACACATTTTCATTATCAGACTTTTGGTTTCTTTCTCTGCCAATTATTTTAAAAACATAAATAAAGTACTTTTAGGAAAAAAAGGTGATGCATTGAGATACTGATAAACAGTAATGGGACGGAACCAGGGCGATTTCCTACCTGTCGAAGGCCATAATTAAGGGAGAGGACAAAAATGTACACGTACACTTGGCTCCCATGCCAAAGTAAAATAGGTTGCTATTATTTAGTCTAATTTAGAGTTTTTCATTTTCTACTCAGTTCTTTTGGTATAATATTAAGATCTTTTGCATTGAATGTAGAGCTCATTAAAAGTATTGTGATGGCTTTAAATTTTATGGAAAATTCATTTCTATAAAAAAGGATATTAAAATTAATATTTTACATTTAAAAATCGTAATATTAGTAATATCACGGGTGCATACAATTCGACATAAAATTTCCCAGTTCTGACTGTTGGCTGAAGCACTAAATAATCTATACTCTGACAGAAATACATTTTATCCAAAAATCATTGTTTCTTCCACCTGGGCCGCTTTTGCCAATATCTTGTGAACAAATTCATGGGTTTGAGGTCCTGTCCCCCGATTCAAGATGTGGGCCTTTCACAAAATATATGCGGTGGTGGGGGTGGGGTGGGGAGGGGGGGTGTGTGTGTGTGTGTGTGTGTGTGTGTGTGTGTGTGTGTCTCTCTCTCTCTCTCTGTCTGTCTGTCTCTCTGTGGGAAATACCCAGTCAAAAGCAGGCGGACAATTCTAGGCGCTCCCTCAAGCTTTGGACAATTCTAGGCGCTCCCTCAAGCTTTGGAAAACCTGTGACCCTCCAGGGTCACGAACTTCACTGTTTCAAAGGCACTGAACGTTCTAACTTGCTGAGAAGGCTGCGCGGGGCGTGACTCTGACCCCTCACTCCGACAGCAGGTTGAGGATCATCTCGCAGGTCATGGCTTCACCCAGGTCCCCACTGCCGGCAGTGGCGGCCTCTCCGTAGGCGGCAGGAGCCACCATCTCTCCCGGGCACTGGTCTCCCATCACCATGGAGGCTCCTCTGGCAGCAGTTTCTTGGGGGAAAAAAGGCACAGGGTTGGCAAGTTTAAAATAAGGCCAAGAAATCAGCGCAAATAGATTTCAGAGACAAACGCTTGATTCTGACCCAGCAGCGCACGTGTGAGAAGACAGGTTTCCACAGAGGGGAGGGGACACGTATTCCGACCTCGGCTCTGCGCTCTGTCGGGGTTTAGCGGCCTCAGCTCTAAGATACCCGGGGCTGGCTCAGCCTCTGCTGCGGGACTTAAAAAGTACACGGCACGAGGTGTCAAGAGGGCCCATTAGGTGCCTCATATGCCGGGACGCCACGCATTTATATAGACGCCTTCAGGTGTGTCCCGCTTGGAGCTCGGGGTCCAGGCGCCCTGGTTTCGGGCTCAGAGTTGGATTTCACCTGGTGTGTCGTCCCCAAGGAACGACTGTGCCTGTGATGGGGTGAATGGTTGCCCCTCAGAAAAGACGTGTCCACATCCTAAAGCCCTGAACCTGTGAGTGTGACCTTATTTCAGATAAGGGCATTTGAAGATATAATGAAGGGTCTCAGGATGAGATCATCTGAATTTTCGAGGCAGACCCTAAATCTGATGACAAGTGTCTTTGTAAGCGACAGAGACGGTAAAGACACAGAGGAGAGGCCAGGTGAAGACGGAGACAGAGACTGGGGCGATGGGGCCACATGCCGAGGACCGCCTGGGGCCACCAGGAGCTGGGAGAGGCGGGGAGGCGCCTCCCCGGGCGCCTCCGGGGGCGGGGGGCGGTCCTGCTCACCTCTTGATTTAGGACGTGCGGCCCCCAGACTGGGAGGGAACGCGTGCCCTCGCTCCAAGGCCCCCGGTTCGTGGTGGTGGTTTGCCACAGCATGCCCAGGCCACGCACACTGCACCCCGCCATCCACCAGCTCGGCCGAGGGGGGCGTTAGGGGCAGGAGAGCAGTGGGCATGTGCATGTGTTATTCGGCCTCACTAAAATGTCCCCCCAGGAACCCACGTGGTGGGGGTCCAGCCCCGGGGCTCCCCAGGGGGTAGGTAGCCAGGCCCGCGTCACCCATGACCACGCGGGGCCAAGTGAAGTTTGAGTCCTGCCCAAAGGGGCAGGAAGCCGCTACAGAGCCAGGCCGGGGACAGGGCGCCCTTCAGGGGCTGGGGGCGGGGTTTCTGGGTGCGCTCCCTGGGCAGGGCGCTTGGCACCCGGGGAAATCCACCATGGGAAAGCCCCGGCGGCCCGACGCATTTCAGAGGAGTTACCGTCTCCCTTCTCCGCCTCTTTTGGGGTGGCCGCCTTGCACGTTCTCACTCTTCTCCCTGCTCCTGAGGGGGCCGCTTTTTCCTGTCCTGCCTGACACTTCTCGGAGTGTCTCCGCATGTTGGTCTGTGGGAGAAATGACACAGCGCACACAGTGAGAGTCGGCATCGCCGGAGCAACGGCACCTTGCAGCGCACGGCCCAAGATGCGCTGCGGGAAACAGGTGCCGCGTACAATCTCGCACAAGAAAGGGCGGCTTTCTAAAGGTGACCCTTCTGTTGCGTTATGTCTGGAAGCAAGCTAGCTTATTTTAGGTGTTTCTTTCTAATGGAAGTCGACGAGAAGGCAAGAATTACCTTTCCAGAATGGCTCCACTCTCCAAAACGAGGTTTGATATGAAAACAGAAATTCAATATATTGGTCAGTTTTATGAAAATCAGTAGAATACCCCAGAGAAGCAGCTGCCCCGCCAGCGTCTGCCCTGGCCTGCCATGGAGTTACGACAACCACGCACAACATGCAGATGGAAGTGGGAAGCCTCCGGTTTCCCAGTCAAGCCCGCCAGCGATATCTTCTTATATACGGACACTTAGGATTTGAAATACGTTAGGAAATTTTCCCTACTTGAAAAGTCCACGTGCTAACCTAAGATACTAGCGCCATGTCATTAAATTTGCTGATTCTGTAAAACATCTCCCCCAGTTTCCATTTTGACTTCCGTATGGGACCTTGCGGGCTTAGGGTGGAGGAGGATTTGCATACAAGGCGGGATGTGGTGGGTTCCCAAAACTCCATCTGATGCTTGTGCATAGGGGTTGGCACGCTGGGGCCGAGGGTCAAGTCCAGCCCGCCCACGCCGTCTATAAAGCAAGTGTTCTGAACAAGCCACGCTCCTTTATCGACGACCTGTCCATCTACGGCTGTGTTTGAGCTACAACCTCAGACGCAAGCAGTCGGGACAGAAACGGCCTGTCTGGTTTGAGGAGCTGAAAATATTTCACTGTCTGGCCCCCTGCAGAGTAAGGCTGCCAACCCCCGGTTTACGTGATGATGGGCAAAAGGAGTCTCCTGGGTCAAGGATTCCTTTGAGGACGTAAGAGCAGCGGCTCCTTCCCCAGAGACGTGCAAACATATTTACACACCCATACTCTCCCTACAGCTTCATCAAGTTCATGGTTAAGAATGTCTGATGTCAGTTTTGCAAGAACAAACAAATCAAACAAAAACACACCCAGCCTCTAAAAAGCAAGCGGAGCGAACCTACAGAACATCTGGGACTGAGAGGGAAGGAAGAGTACAAACGTTTGTGTTAGAGAAATGCTTCTCGGGCGCGGAGGACGCCCCCCGCCCCCCCACTCCCCGGCCCGGCCCACCCATTCCCGATCCGGGGCAGGGTCCTTACCGGGAGGGAGGGGGTCTGGTACGACGTACACCAGGACTACTGCGTGTTAAAGGAGGAAGTCTGTGATATTTTACTTAAAAAAAAATTAAATTGGATTCAAGTTTTCAGATGCGCTTTTATTTTTAAAGACTTTCATTTTTAGAGCTGTTTCAGGTTTGTAGCAAAACTGAGAGGGAGGTGGCGATTTCTCACATGCCCCACCCCACATCTGCACACCCTCCCCCACTGGCATCATCCCCTGCATTTGCCATAACCGATGAGCCTACGTGACACATCGTCACGCCAAGTCTGCAGTCCACCTTAACGTTCACTCCCGGTGGTGTGCATCCTGGGTCTGCATGGGTATGTGATAATGTGTGTCCACAATGACAGTGTCGCACAAAGCAGGGTCACTCCCCTAAAAATCCTCTGTGCTCCACCTGTTCATCCTGCCTGTCCCCCACGCCCCGGCAACCTCTGCTCTTTTATTGTCTCCATAGCTTTGCCTTTTCCAGGAGGTCACATCGTTGGCATCATATAGCATCTAGCTTTTCAGGCTGGCTTCCCTCACTCAGCAACGTGCATTTAAGATTGCTCCATGCCTCTTCACGGCTTGACTGCTCATTTCTTTTTGGTGCCGAATAATATTCCATTGTCCGGATGGACCAGTTTATTCACCCATCCCCTGCCGGAGGCCATTTTGGTGGCTTGCAGGTTTTGGCAATTAGGAGTGGAACTGGCGTAAATGTTCATGTGTAGGTTTTCCTGTGGACGGAAGCTTTCAGCTCCTTTGGGTAAACACCAGGGAGGATGGCTGCTGGATCAAACGGTAAGAGTTGATGTAGTTTTGTAAGAAACTGCCAGGGCCTCGCCGAGCATCTGCACCACGTTGCACGCGTACCAGCAGCGGGTTCCAGTCGCTCCCCACGCTCGCCGGCGTTCGGTGTCGTCAGCGTTCCCGATTTTGGCCATTCTGAACGGTGTGTAGTGGGGTCTCCTTGCTCTGCTTTTCGTTTCCCTGAAGACACGTGAGGTCAGCCTCTTTTCACAAGCCGGGTGTGGTCTGTGTATCTTCTTTGGTGGGGGGGTCTGTTAAAATCTTTGGTCTCTTTTTAAATCAGGTTGTGTCTCCTGATTGTGGAGCTTCAAAAGTTCTTGGTACATTTTAGATGACAGTCCTTCATTGGATGTGACTTTTGCATGTATTATCTCTGTGTCTTCTCGTTCTCTGGGGTGACACTGTCTGTCACAGGACAGAAGCTTCTGATTTTAATGAAGCCCAGCTTATCAATTCTTTCATTCATAGGTTGTGCCCTGGTGTTGTAGCTAAAAAGTTATCACTACACCCAAGGTCATGTAATGTTTCTTACGTTGCCTTCTAGAAATTTTACAGTTTTGTGTTTGATGTTTAGTTCTGTGGTCCATTTTGAGTTAATGTGTTTGAAGGGCATAAGGTCTATGTGTGGAGTATATTTTTTTGCGTGTAGGTGTCCAGTTATTCCCGCACCCATCGACGACAAGGCTGCCATTGCTCCACGGTGTACCCTTTGCTCTTCTGTCAAAGATCAGGTGACTATCTATTTCTGGGCTATTTCTGGGCTCTCTCTTCTGTTCTATGGGTCTGCTCACTTTTTGGCTGCTATAAACAATGCTGCTATGAATATTTGTGTACAAGCTTTTGCCGTTTCAGTTCTTTTGGGTGTAAGAATTTCTGGGTCCAGGGGGATGTAAAGTACAGCATAAGGAATACCGTTGCTAATACTGTAGTAACTACATATGGTGCCAGGTGGGGACGGGAAATATCAGGGGGACACTTTGTAAAGTATGTGACTGTCTTACCGCTACGCTGCCCACCTGAAACTTACACGAACTAAAATGAATGTAAACTGTAGTTGAAAAACATTGTCTTAAATTAAAAAAAGGAATACTAATAAAAAAAGAAACTCTGGGAGCCTGTAAACTGGGTGCCAAGGGACTAGGGCCAACACCCAACAGTTCATCATTATCGACAGAATAGGAATGTAATGGACATCATGTTAACGTGGCAGGTACGTTGTTTTATCTTAAGCGTCTGCCCATAAACGTTTATTGCGTCTTTGGCACTTGAAAAAAAGAAAAACAAACGGCTAGATCACGTGGCAACTTTATGTGTAACTGTTTGAGAAACTGCCCGCCTATCTTCTGAGGCGGCTCTGGCCTTTAAAATCCCACCAGCGACATCCGAGGGCGCCTGCCATCCTACCTTTTCCACGCTGTCTTCTTTCATGGCAGCTCCCACAATGGCGAGTTCTAGGGCGATCTTTACTGGGATTTGGATCTGCACGTCCCTAGTAACTGATGACGCCAAGCAACTCTCATGAGCTCATTGGCCATTCATATATCTTCTTTGGAGAAGTGCCTTTTTAGATCATTTTCCTCTTTTTAATTAGGTATTTGGTGTTTTTTTTAAAAATTATTATTGAGGTATAAGAGTTCTGTATATATTCCAGATGCAAATCCGAATATGCCTTCTTAAATGAAAGAAAAGTCTTTGAAACCTCTGATGTTACATCCCGAGGACGCTGCGAGGCCGCTTCCCCCTCTCCTCTGCTCTCCCGTGTCTCGCGCCAGAGGGCAGCTCTGCACGGCTTTAACTTGGTGTGAAAGCTGCTGCGCCTGCTCCTATCTGACGCATTCTGAACGATTTATGCGGACACTCCAGAACTGTCCTGCTAGGCTGCCCCCTGAGACACGCAACTACCCTGACTTAGGGGAGGAAAAAAATAGTTTCCCCCCATAAAAACAATCAGCTTCAGATAATTCAAAACTTTTACAAAGTTAGACGGGAGCATCCATTGTCTAAGGATCCCACTAATCAGCTGTGGGTTTTTTTTTTTTTACTTGATTGATTTTAGAGTGAGAAGCAGCGATTTGTTGTTCCACCAACTGACGCGTTCACGGGTGGTTTCCTATACGCACCCGGACGAGCGCAAACTGCAGCCTTGGTGTATGGCGGGCAACACCTCAGCCCACTGGGCTACCCGGCCAGGGCAAGAGCGTGGTGGTTTCAAGTGTCCACAGATTCGAACCAGACCCACCCAGCCAAGCATGACCCACAGACACTGGGAGATAATAAATGTTCGGTGTTTTAAGCCACTCAGCTTTGAGGTCCCTTGGTAGGCAGCATGGAAAACTAACACAACACCTAAAAAGAATAAAATTGAAGGGTGACTGTTTTTCTTAGCACAGTCCCAACAGCCCTCGACTGAGAATATCTATGAACCATTTTGAAAATTGCCCTCTCGCTGTGAAGTAGCCTAAATCTAATTCACAGGAACAATTTTTAAACAGCGTACTAAAACCAGAGATTCTCTGTAGATTTGGCGGGCAGGGGTGGGGCGTGGTGGCTGAGAACTCTCTAAAGCTTTGTGCAAAGGTTTGTTTTCAGGGACTTTTTTTTTTTTTTTCCACAGAAGGGGAGACCACACATTCATAAGATTTTCGAGTTTTGTGACGGATAACCACTTTCCGAAGGCCTGGCAAGTTCCTACAATAGCGTGGAACCCCCCGAGTGGGACCTGCCGGGGACACAGAGGGGTCTTAGGGGGGACCAGCAGCGACTGGGGGAAGCTCACCCAGCGGGAAAAGCCTTTGCCGCAGGTGGAGCACTTGTGCACAGGCGGGAGGTACTCTGCGTCATGGCATTTCTTGACGTGGACAGTCAGAAGCTGCTTCTGTTGGAAGCGCTGGTTGCAGGAGATGCAGGTGAACGGTTTCTCCCCAGTGTGGGTTCGGACGTGAGCTGTCATGTAGCGCTCCTGGGAGGGAGGCGAGAAGACAGACCGCTCAGCTCTTTACAGGGACTTTTTGGTATCAGGCATTATTGCTCGCATTCCCTTCCCCAAAGATGACTGCACTAGGAAGAAAAACCACAGCGAAGACATTGTCTGAACACAGCACGGTTAGGGCGGGAGCACAGCCCGGCGGTCTACAGAACCCAGTCACAGGCGGACCCTGCCGTCCGATCATAAAAGTTCTCACGACTAGCTCCCAGCGGGTCCCCCAGGCCCGGGCGGGGGGGGGGTGGACAGGAACATACGGGCAGGGGGCAGGGAGATGATCATCGCTCTCCTGCCAAAGTGCTCACGTATTTGCAACCCCACGTCTATAATTATTAATGTTCTCAGTGACCTGCGTTTACAAAGGGCAGCTGGAACCTGCAGACTCAAAAATCTAATGTTAGAGTTTCCGTTCAGCGGGCCTTGGGGGTAGAAGTACACGAAGCATACATGTTCCCTCCACTTCCTCAGAGAATTACAACAAATCGTAACGTCGAGGTAAAAGCCTCATGGTGAAAATCATTGTTCACAGCAAAGAAATCATCAGAAATTTTAACTAGGATTTATGTGAGTAAATAATTTGGGGAATCAGGACAAAAATACATATAAAGCCAAGCAAAAACACATATTTTGTTTTATTTAACATGCTATGATTATTCAGATGAGACACACAAACATGCTCAGGCTACTGCTCGTAACCTAACAGAGAGGCTTTCTCTGGGTCTCTCCTTGTCTCTCCAGGAGGGCATCGCCTGGTGTCTCTGCTGAGAGCCGGGGTCTCTGGCACCAAAGCACGTGGAGCGCCCAGCAGTGCCCCAGCCTCAAGGCCCCCTGCGTGCTCTCTGCCCACCGAACACCCGAGACTTTACCTGCCCTGGGGTCCCCTCCTCCTCTCCAAGTCTCGCCCGCCTTCAGGAAGTTCTGGGTCCTTGGAACAAACCCGAGCCAGGGCTCCGAAGGCCCCCTGCTCCAAGCCTACTAGACACACACTCCCTTTTCCTTATTTGAAGCCTTTACCGTTTACAGCCCACACTGGGAAACCCGGTAACTGACTTGCACCTTTGGTCACCAGGCAAATTATCCGAGCGGCACGCGGTTCAGGGCAGCTGTTCAGGTCTCGCACTTTTGGTCTTAGACTCCCTTTTAGTCGTAAAAATTATTCACACTCTAAGCAGCTTTTGTTTATGAAGTGATATCTACTAGTACTGCCTGTATTAGAAATCAAAACTGAGAAAGATATGAAAAAATTGATTCTTTAAAAACAGCAGTAAACGAACCATATATTAATACATTGATATAACACATGTATTATCTATTATTTTTCAAAAACAAAAAAATTAATATCTGGCCTAACAGATAAAGTTGCCGTTATTTTATAGGCCGCACTATTTGGGACGTGCTTTTATCCCCAAATACTTGTTGTTTAGCTGGACATTCCTTATTTTTGTTTCTATGTCTGGCCACCTTATTCGATGGAGATGGCCCTGGTCTCTGGGCTCCTGCCCCCAGTGCACCGAGGCGTGTAGCTGTGGCTGAGACAGAGGCGGGAAACCTGCTCTCCCAGACACGCAGTTGCAAAAGGGAGCAGAATCTTAATAGCTTTTCAAATAATCAAAGACATTCTTTTCCGCTATTACACCAAAACCCAACAAGTGACAATTTTCTTACAAATTGGCTACATTGTGGAATCTGAAACCACCCCAATGAACTTTTTATACTCTGTGACATTAAAATCTGTTGATTGATCTCATACTTTGATTAGACCCTTTGCCCACGCCTGATTCGGTAAAATAATGGATGCGTCGTTTGGAAAATATCAGCTTGAGTTATGGAGAGCTTCTGAAGGCTGACGTGTTTCATTAGGCCGCATAAAAAAATCACTTTCTTAAAGTCACTCCCACCATTGGATGCAAGTTTTCCAAAATTCTAATTCTAATTTCCTCTTGCATGGGGACATCGGCCTTGGCCGCCCACGCTGCCTGTGACGTGCGGTGCCCCGTTCATGGACCTTCAGGGAGAAGGCCCGGGGTGTGGCTGAATATCCAGGAACTGAAAGAACAGAGTTTGTCGCTTGTCCTTTCAAGGCAAAATAGTGGTTTACAGGAAAAAAAACAAAAAAACAAAAAACAAAAAAACCCAATGGCTAGTTGAGCTCGCAACTCCAGCAGCCCCACAGGCGACGTCACCGGACACTGTCCTGCCCCGGAAGACGGAGATGCTTCCTTCCAACTTCCCAGCTCATCACAGACCACGCAGGCGATGAGTACTCGGGGCCAACAGTGAGTAATGTTAGTAACGCTTGCTGCTTTTCCGAGGACATGATTGAGTACAACTGCCCTTTGTTTTTGTTGCCAGTGCACGAACGAGGCGAGCACAGCCGTGACAGGTCACGGCTCTGCTTGGCAGTAAGGCCCCTCCACAGCTAATGCGCCATCGGGGCCACGGCCAGCAGGGGGCAGATAGGGGGTTGGCCTTAATTCATTAATTACCAATAATAATTCCGATTGTACGGCACTGACTGGCTGTAAGGACTTCTAGGGGTCTGTGAGCCATACTTCAAGAACTGTTGTTTGAATTTATTGGCTTGTGGTTGCCTTCTGGTTACTCTTACTAGTCTTTCCTAATGAAGATTTTACTTACTTATTTTTAGAGAGAGGAGAAGGGAGGGAGAAAGAGAGGGAGAGAAACATCGATGTGAGCGAGAATCATTGGTTGCCTCTTGTACACTCCCCGGCCGGGGACCCACCTGCTACACAGCCCTGCGCCCCGACCAGGAATCGAACCGTTGACTTTTCACTTTGCAGGAAGACGCCCGAGCAGCCAGGGTGTAATAGTCGTTTTTGTTTGTTTGTTTGTTTGTTTAAGCATGACTTTTCCCCAACATTTCCAAAGTGGTAGAAACCCCCCTCCAGCCTCCATTCTTCCTCTTCCCGGGCCTCCCACGGCCTCCCCAGACGGACTGGAGTGAAACGCGCTACCTGCTTGCAGGTGTAGCTGCAGTTCTTGCACTTGAACCTCTTCTCGTGTTTGTGAGCCTTCTGGTGCTGGAGGAGGCTGTAGCGGTCGTGGAAGACGGCGGGGCAGTAGCGGCACCCCATCTCTGCGGCCGTGTAACTATGCAGGTTGCGCAAATGGACGCCTAAAACCGGGACGGAACGTCCGTTACTGTGTGTGTGGGGTGGGGAGGTATTGTTTTCTGTGAGGCCAATCTACCCCTGCCTATCACCCAGGCTTCTCACTCTCAGCACTGGGAGCAGGTGGGGCTGGCCGCGCCCTTCCCGGGTGGACCGTGCTGTGCCTTGCACCCCTGGCCCCTGCCCACTAGATGCCACCAACACACAGGGACAACCAACATGCTATGAAACCGCACTGATGCAAGTCCGCCACCAGATGGCACCACAGGACCTCTAAAAAATGAAACAAATCCAGGCTGGTTCCTGAAGGCCCAGGGCTCCACAGGTGTCCCTGCAGAAGGGAGTGTGTCCGCCCAGACACTCACGCAGGTCGCTCTTCCTGGAAATGCTGGCGGCACAATGGGGGCACTGGTACTTGGGGACGTTGTCGCTGTGCTTCTGCTCAATGTGTATTTTCATGGTGCCCCTCTGGGTGAAGCGCGCGTGGCAGAGGTGGCATTCGTAGGGCTTCTCCCCTGTGAGACAGCGACAAAGGTGGCCTCTGCAGAGCGGCCTCCCCCCGCAGGCCCCGGTCCCCCCCAAAGGACACCTGAAGCTGAAAGCTTGTCTTTTGTTCTCTGGGCTCCTTCTCCCACACCTTCCTCCTGCGTTCACCCCACAACGGGCATAAATTCCTAAGTGGAGCCCAGGCAGCTAAGGACCGGGGAGCACACGCAAACACCCTCTGTCTACAGCAGAATGGAACGTAAGCGCGGCGGAACCAGCGCCCTCTGCTCTATGTCGCCTTCAGTCCAAGGGGGCGTGAAGGAGTCGACTTCTGAAGCCTGAACAACCTACGGAGGCCCACCCATGATGGCGTCTTCCTTGGTCGCTGCTGGTGAGGCAACAGCACAGAGCGTACGTGGGCTCCCTTGACGCTAAACGCACCCACAGGCGCAGAGCAGAACCCCCACGCCACACAAGCGCGGAGGCGCTCACTCTGCCCCTGGCACGGCAGCTCTGCGCCCAGAGAGGAAAGTTTATAAACTGGCGCCTGAGAACGAGCCAGTGCTTCGCAGGCGTGGTCCTGCCGCAAGGCCCTCTCACCTGAGTGCGTCCTCATGTGTCGCTTCAGCTTGTGGGTGTCCTTGCTGGCGTAGCTGCAGAGCTGGCACTGGTAGGGACGCTCCCCCGTGTGCGACCGGATGTGGCGCTTCAGCTTGCTCGCCTAATCGACAAATGGAAGGGATTTGTTGCAAAAGGAAACGGAAATGGGTAGATCCAACCCAGGAGCATTATAAAGAGACGCTGACATTTTAACCTCAGGACATATTTTGCACCCTGAAACACTCGACAAAGTCATTACTTTTTATTTTCTGGGGTGAATGATTTTTTTTTCTTCATTTGATGTCGTTGTTTAAGATCCTTTGGAATAATCAGTAGTTTCCAGAAACTCTGAGATTCGAGTTCACGGTACCCAGGGAAAAGGGCAGTCTCGCCGCTCAGTGCCACACGGGATTTTATTTTCACGTCTACGTCCCCTGACACTAGTGCTGCGAAGTTTAGCCCTCGCCACGCAAGTGCAGAGGCCGGAATGCTTTTGTTTGCAGAAATAAAATGAGACTCTTAGCACATCGGCTCTCTGCTGGGCAGACACACCTGTGTCTGAGGTCCTTCTCGGTTCCACGTGCTCGTGGTTTCCAAGGGCCTTGTTCACCTTTGGCAGAACAGGGGCAGGGGTGACATGTTAGAGAGTCCGCATCACCCTGCCTGTGCCCTGGGGAAGACTACACTCGGTCTGACTCCCCCACACGTGACAAGCACACGTAAGCACGAAGAACATTCAAGAACAAAGGACTTAGATCCAAACCAAAAGATTCAGACTTTTAGATGAAAAGTGGATGTCTCTAAGTATATTAGAAAGTGAAACGAAAAGAATTTTAGCCCCGACTGGCATGGCTCAGTTGGTTGAGCATCGGTCTGCAAAGCTAAGGGTTGTGGGTTCGATTCCCTGTCAGGGCACATGCCTAGGTTGCAGGCCAGGTCCCTGGTTGAGGTACGTGGGAGAGGCAACCAACCAAAGTTTCTCTCACATCGATGTTTCTCTTTCTCCCTCCCTTCCCCTCTCTCCAAAAATAAATAAGTAAAATTTTAAAAAAGAATTAAAAAACATTAGAGCGTGAAAGAGTGGATGAGTGCTGTGAACGATCAAAGGTGGCTGCCGTGTGTCAACCTTCCCTGGTGAGGGAGGGCGAGGGGAGGAGGGGAGCCCCACGCTTTCCAGGCTGCTGTGATACACCATGCACCCCGACGCACTCCCGCTGTGTCTGTGGGGGAGCTCAGGCCACCCCGCTTAAAGCAGACCGCAGGGCAAGACTTGGAAACCCCAAAAATGCCTAGGCTGCCCGGCCCACAGGTTGGCGTGGACCGCTGACCCCAGAGGAGGGTCTCAGTGGACCTGGGTGGTTGTGCGCAGAACCGACAGGACACCAACCAGAAGTCCGCCCCAGGCTCGGGCGTCTCGGAGGGCTTTGCCCCTTGAAACTTTCATTTTGGGTGTGCAAACTAGAGTCATAACCTTTAACTCCGATGAGAAAGAACTTTTAAAAATAGTAATAGCAGAAAAAAACCTCTTGGAATCAAATCCTGACCCTGCCGGTGAAATTTCCTCATTTATGAAACGCAGTTGCATCACCCAGTGTTTCAGCGCTAGTCTTGCCCTTGAGCTCAGTTCCCTTCCCCAGCCTGTTATCCCCCCGGCCCGAACCCGCGCCCCCCGCCCCGCACCCCGCTCAGACCCAGGCCCCACAGCGTCCTGACACAGAGGGGGAGCCCTTAAGCATTAATTGTTTAAGGAAACCGACAGGGAAGGCGATCGCGATGTTCTGTCCTGCTGTTTCATTCAGAGCTGCTGAACTTGCCAGGGGTGTAAGTACAACGATCTAACGGCATAGCCAGGGCACATCGCTCAAGTCTAAAATCCCGGATCCCCCGTAATAACAGGGGAAACGGTATGTTCAAATCTCCAAGCAAGTGGGCTTGTATCTGACCGAGCGCCACGGAAGTGAGCGCCAAAATTTCAGCACGCCTTCAGACGGGACCGGGGTCTCTGTTGGAGCTAATCCCTTTTGAGCCTGTGGACCTGAGTGCCACCTCAAATGCGAGGTAGCACTTCGATTTCCCAAGTCCCCCACGCAGTTTTACTTGTAATTTGCACACTTTTATATATTGCTTTCGCTAACTGGTAATCAAAGCCAAAAGAAATCCAATTTTCTATTTTCAATTTAGAAAACTGAATGAGTATTATTTCCTGCATAGATTTTGTATGAGTAATATCTTTAATAAAACCTATTTTGTAAGAGGTTCTCCTGTTAGTTGAATGCAACATGATTTTTCCAGCAGCTTCCTAGTAAGATGCCACAAAGCTTTCAGGAGAGTGAACTTACTTCCACGCTAGCGTATTTGCATATGGAACACTTAAACGGCTTCTCGTGAGTGTGTTTGTAACGTCTGTGTCGGACAAGCTCTCCGCTGGTGACAAACGCCATGTCACAGTCACCGCACTTGTAGGGCCTGGTTCCTGCAAAACCACAGAGTTTCAAACAAGATTTCGCCACACGTTTCCCTAGGAATGTCTAATTTCTAAACCACACGCAGCCTCCCAAGGCTTTAAAAATGAAGAAGAGGTTCTGAAAACCATAAATACCCCACACGGAGCCAAGAAAATGCTTTGGCACGTTCGATGCTGTTGTGAACGGAAACGGAAGAAAACAAGGTGAAACTTAAAGTCTACAACAGCGCACTAGTTTCACGGAGGAACCGTCGCGTTTGAAGTCTCAAAGCCTTACACGCGTCCTGCAAGGGCGGCGCCCCCCTCGGCGGGCTCACCGGTGTGGGTGTTGATGTGGTTCCGCAGGAGGGTGACCGTGCGGAAGCCTTTCAGGCAGAGGTGACATGTGTGGGGCCTCTCATTGGTGTGAGTCTTCACATGTCGATTCAGACTGGAAATTCGGGGCGCTGTGAACAGGCAGAGGTCGCAGTGGAAGGTTGGGGTGTCTCCTGCGGGAAGGAGACACGGAGTTGATACCCCTGTGAAAATCTTTCTTTAGGCGCTCCAGTTCCATTTTGGGGGGCACGAAAATATGCTGCAATTAGACAGTGGTAATGGTTGCACAGACTTGTCTATGCATTAAAAACCTGAAAGTGAGCTGGGAATTGGGAATTTGGGGTGGGGTGCCATGTCTTGTTTTAAATATATGAGAAACTACTATATAGCGAGGGGAGGCAAATACCTACTGCAGCCAGAGGCAACGCCCCTAAACGGATGACTTTGCCCATGGACAGTGTGCCCACGCGACTTCCCAAACTGAGCCACCTCCACCTGCTGCGGGAGGGAGGCGACAGCCAAGTGTTGCCAGATAGGACTTTTTAAAAATGAGCTAGAAACGGAGATTTGGAGGGTGAGCTCTTAATTTAAACAAGAAAGAAAATCCTTTAAAAGCTAAACAAATAATTTTGACAGTCCGATTCATCCAGCGGGTTTCCAAGACTCAATGTCAGTCCTAACACAGCTTCGCGGTCCTTCCTAACCTGGCCTGACCTCTTGGAGCACCGGCAGGCCTCATAACAAAGCCACGCCCACAGGCCACCCCCTGCTGCCCGGAAGGGCGAGCCCCACTCTCAGTGGTTTCTGAGTCCTCTTTCCTAGCCTCGCCTAAACGTCCTCGCCGGGGAGCCACCTCTGTGGCTTTCCAGACGTCACTGCTCGGGACCATGATGCATCTGCTCTTGCCCCCCGCCCCCCACCCCAGGGTGCGAACGACGGAGCAGATCAGAGCCCCACATTTTATGTACGTGCACAGTGCTCGGCAGGAGCATTTTTCCCCTACGCTTTTAAAACATTTGTGTGCAAAATGCAAAACGCTTGGATCTGATGCACAATACAGAACATTAGTTTAAAATTTCTCTCATTTCCTGACATCTTGAAAGCATCTAAAAGTCAATCACTTAAAACTTCAATGACTGTCTTGTTCTTGGGAAGAAAAACAGCTGCCGGTTTTGTGTAGCCTCTCACACAAAACGAGCTCCCTACCCTTGGTCTCCTGTTGCGTTTTCGGAGCTCGGGCTCTTTTGGGGCGCTGTCGTGGCTGAATAGGCGCAGGTTGATCTTCTGTTTTTTCCACGTTTAAGTCTGAAACTGTCAGAATGATTTCGTTTCTTCCCTCTTCTCCGGGCCTCGTTTCCACAAGAAAGAACTGCTTTTCTGTTTTCTCGACGCCTCCTTCAGCAGGCAGCTGGTCTTCCTCCTGACCTTTCCCAAGCTAATAAATAAACACAAGTATTCAAACAAACACGACACCATAAATTACAATCTGATTCAACTCTTTGTCTTGATGAAACCGAGGAATACATAACGAAAAAGTTAAAATTAAAGTAGCACAGAAGATTGTCCATGGCAACCAAAATGCTTAGGCATAGTTATTAGGCTTCAAGGAGTTTTGGTGGTAAAACAAAGCCATTAAGAGAAAACACACAACATGCCTGATAGTATTCTAATTGGTGAAACTTTTTAAGCTCTTTAAGAAGAAAGAAACAACACGTGGTCCCCCAAGATTTTCCTGGGAATTATTTTACTGTGTTTAATTTTAAACTGCGTGTCTATACATAATACTGCACAAAGGGCCACCTAAAAAGATTGTTTTTTAGAAAGTTCCATGCAAGGGGTCTGTCTTTTTTAAAACCAGCCATACCTTAATCCATCCAGCGCCTTCCGGCAAGCTCTCCGCGCACACACCGTCTTCAGTGACCACGGCCAGGCTGTCCTGCAGAACATGCAACTGCATCGTCTGCATTTCCTGCAGCGAGTACACCTCATCCTGCATGCTGAAGGCCACGCACTGGTGCAGGCCCTGCTGGGCGCCCTCTCGGACCCACAGCAGTGGCGGCGCCGGGCTACCCACGTGCTGTGCCCCGTCTTGGGGCTGCGGCATCAGCCAGGCGACCTCGGGCAGGTCAGCGTTTTCGAAGGTGGGGTGCACCGGCTGCAGGGTCAGGACGTGGCTCCCGCTGTCCTCCATGGGCGCCAGCACCAACTCCTGCTCTCCTTCGGGGACGCAGGGCAGGAGGGCCCCAAGCATGCGCTCGGCCTCCACCTGCCCCGGGCCTGGGGGCTCCTTTGCTCTGCGTATTCCACCCTCTTCCTCCTCCTGGGCTTTGTCTGGCACCCACTCCAGCTCTTTGATTTTGGTGAATTGCTCGAGAGTGTCAAAGACCTCGGTCCCTGCCATTTTGACTTGGCCTGTTTGAGAAAGGAGCAAGCAGTCTGGGTCGTGCACAGTGCGGTTTGGCCCTAGCGGGCTTTGGGGCTGACCAAGGCCTCAGAAGGCTTTGGTTCTCATAGGGGTCAGGACCAGGTTGACTCAGCCTAGGCCTAGGAGGGGCTGAGCCTCGGCAGGATTTAGGCTAAAGCAGGCATTTGTTTAGAACATTCTAGAACTAACAGATTTGGGCCTGAGCAGGCTTTTGGCAAATGCACCTTCTGGGATCAGCAAGGTGGCGCCCTCGCAAGCTTTCCACGGTTGCACAAGCCAGACATATCGCGCACCCTGTAGGCCACGCAGGCTCCGGGACTAGAGTCTCGAGCCCACGCACACTGGCCGAGCACGCCCCACGCGGGCACGCGCCCCGTCCAGGATTGGGGAAACTGCATCTCTGCTCCCGGCGCCCCCCTGCCTCAGCCCCTCCCCCGGCCCGGCCCCTCCGCAAGTGCCCTCTGCCTTTCCCGCTCTCACCCGCCCACGCGGAGCAGCACTGGCAGCACGTGCTCCGCTGGGGGCCGCAGTCCGGCCCCTGGGGTGACCCTCACCCGGGAGGCGTGGCCTTGCTGCTGGCCCGCCCTGTCCTGGTGGGCTTCCACCTCGGACTGCCTGCCGCCGGCACTAAGATCAAGGATCGAGGGGGCGCTGTGCGCAGGCGCAGGGCAGAAAATGGGGATGGCGTTCAAGGGGCGGAGCCACGGCGGAGGGGTTCCCGACGAGGGTAGCGGAGTGAGGGACCTATGGGAGGTGGGGGCGGGACGGATGGATAAGGAGAAGTGGAGCGGGACTTGCAGGGCTTCTGGGAGACCTGGGAGGTGGGATCGATGAGGACGGAAGTGGAAGGGGGCTTGCAGGGGCGCTGAGAGACCTGGGGGATGGGATCGATGGGGACGGAAGTGGAGGGGGACCAGAGACCAGGAGGGGGATCGGTGAAGGGGGACCTGTAGGGGGCGCTGAGAGACGCGACAGGAATGGATGAGGAGCGGAAGGGTCCTCCAGGGGGCGCTGAGACTAGGGAGGGGGTGAGTGAAGAGGGGAAGTGGAGGGGGACCTGTAGGGGGCGCTGAGAAACCAGGGGGATGGATGAGGACCTGCAGGGGGTCACCTGTGACTTGGTGGGGGGAATATGGACAACGTGGGGGAGTGAAGGGGAGGGAGCAAAAGGAGCTTGGCAATATGGGTTAGGGTGGATGGACAGGGCAGAAAGGGGGAGGAGGGAACCTGGAGGAGGCTCCAGAGACCCGAGCAGCAGGCAGGTGCGGGGAGCTGGGGGCGGACAGGAGGGATCCCAAAACATGGGGGCTCGGGAGTCGGTGGAATGAGAGAAGGTGGGAGTAGAAAGAGCACGCTGTGGAGGAGCAATGGGGAGGCCACAAGGCCAAAAGGGGGTGCGGGTATCCCACCAAAAAGGGTAGAAAAGGAGTAGGGGAAGGAAGCGGAGAGGGACAATTGTCCGGAGGGGGCCGGAGGCCCATGTGCTTGAAGTCTTTCCCAGATCTTCAGACTTGATAAAATTCCTTCCAAAATGCCTCTTTCAAGGCAGGTGGGAGGGTGAAGGAAAGTGAAGGAGAAGCCGAGCGGGGACTAGTGCTGGGGAGAAACCTAAAGAAAGACTCCACAGGGCCCCGGCGTTGTGAAAACGCCGCATGCCACCCAGTTGTTCACCCCAGTGGGGGCTCACTCCTGTCCTGTGACGTGCACCGCGATCCGTGCTTCTTAACGGAGATGAGTTAATTCTGCGGGTCTGCAGGCGCCATTCGGCCCGTTCCCCAACCAGCTATCAACTGCGTGCGAGTTTGGAACAAAGGACGGATTAAAATCTTTCGCACGGCACTGATATATTGAAAATTATTTTAAATACATTTTCAAGTACAATTGACATTATTTTACATTCGTTTCAGGCCTACAGTGTAGTTGCTCTGATATATATTTTTTAAGGCATTGTTTATGGCATTCCAGGGAAGTCTTCTCTTTTGCTTTCGCTTTTTCATTTTTTTTTCTCCAAAATTTTAATAAAACTTGAATGGAATTTTCTTGTTTGGTGGTTGTCAGTAAATCTATTTGGAGGCCGGAGGTGGGGAGGGGGAACATGACCTGCCTTGACTTGATCATATCAGCAAGTAATGTCTCTCCCAGGCATGGTCAGAGAACCGTCTCTACCCATAAAACGGCTTTCTCTCGGTCTGCGCAGTGTTCTCCACAGCTCCTTCCGGGGGCGTTCAAATTTTATTTCACATTCTTGTGCACAGTACATACTCAAATGTATCGATATTTTATGTTTGATAGTACAAAGGATAGAACTAAATGCACACCAGCAACGCATTTATCGGTGAGCTGCTTGGCTCACTGGTTTTGACACCGTGTCTGGGTATCAGCCAGCATACTCCACGCAGAAGATAAATATTTGAAGGTCATGGGAAAATAGTGTGTTGTAATAACTTCTTTGAAATCATTTCAATGAGTTTCTCTGCCCAACCAATCACCACTTACTTAGTGCCTTCCTGGGGAAACTGAGGCAGACCTGGAGGGGAAAATGCAGGGGCTGAGAAAGGAGATGGGGAGGCGGGGCAGGGGTGGGGTAAGCAGGAGGAGAGAGCCTTGAAGGGGGGACAGGGTGGCGGGGACGGAGGGGCTACAAGGAGTGACAGGGAAGACAAACCAGTAGCTCCTTAAACTTTGCTCCTCTAGTGGGAAGTTTTCTTGGCTTGTATTAGACATTCCTGAGAGTCACTGAGGGGGGGGGCACCTTGGAACCCCGCGGGGAGCCTCCCGTTGGAGCCCCTGAGGGGACCCTCTTTCAGAATATGGAGATGGGGGGCAGACCTGGGCGGAGGCAGCATTATAGTCGCCTTTTCACAGTGAAAGAAACAGAAAGGTTGAGAGACTTGCCCAGGTGGTAGGAGCTGTGATTGAGAGCATCCCTGCCTTACGTGCTGTATAACTTGCTATTTATTGTTTGTTGTTGTTGTTTATGGACCCTCAGGGGGAGTAAACTATCTATGACAAGGACGTCTGGAGGCCTGGGACCGAGAGAGCATTGGCACCTCCCTGAGGAACAGCCTTATATTGGAGTCCATTGCCCCTGACTGTCCTGTTCTTTACTGTCCCCCTAGCACCCAGGGGTGGTGAACTTGGCCTTTATATCCTGGAGTCTTACAGAAACAACCGTCACGGTGGTTTCCTCTTGCTGCTCCACAGTGGTGTTTACCTGAATTACCTCCAACCTCTTCATTTTAAGAGACCTTTCTGGAACACTGTGCTTGATTCAACAGCTGTTCATTCATGCAGAGGGGATTTGCGATGAGCTCGGACGTCTCCACTGTGGGGAAGCGGGGTGCCCCGAGGGCCTTTCTGAGAGGTCACCCGGAGCCCAGAATGTCTGGCTTTGCCGTGTGCTTGGGCCCGCAGTACAGGAAGGGGGATTTAGCACATAACGGGGCGGGAGGGAGCCCGCGTTAGAACGCGGTGCCCTATCTGTGGGATATCACAGCTGGAGAGCAGACAGCAGCTTTCCCTTCTGCGGTGGGTGGTGGTTTCTGTGTGTGTTTGTTTATTTTCCTCTGAAGCCTGACCGGCACCTGGGACGTCACCTATTATTTAATCCAGTCTCATGTGATGAGTTGGCTCCTCTAAGTGTCACAAAGATAATTTGTACCCAAAGTGTACATAAACAGCCTGGTGCTTTGGTCTAAAATGTTCCTGCTGTCACTTTGGTTTCAACCAATGGGTTGCAAAGGAGTGTCCGTTTTCAGGCATGCCAGTTAACCAGTTGGGCAAATGTCGTTGGATCATTACACTTTGAACTTTGGTATGAACACAGAGGGAATGTACTTTTATTTAACGAGCAACTCAGCACTGCTCATGGACCAGACCACAGGGGCGGGGAGGTTGGGGACGAATGCGAAGGAGAGAGAGAGTTCTTAAAACCAAGAGGAACGGTCACAGGAAGAGTCAGGGCGCCAGCAGGGGGTTGGACCACCCTGGAGAAGGGTACCATGTGTTCCAGAACTCTTTGGAACTGTATCTTTATCACGTCTACCTTATCCTGTTTATCTATGAGGAGGCGCTGGGTAAATAAATAGATACATATATAATAAAAGCTTATTGCATTTAGTCTGATTACATGGAGCCTGAAAACAAGTATCTTGGGGCAAAAAAAAAAAAAAAAATCTGGAAATGTGTACTCTGACCCATTCATAGTGAAGTGATTCATTTGGGGGCTGGCGGCTGAAGGGGCCGAGGTGAAGGACCCTGCGTCGTCCCTTTAAGCAGTAAGGGGGGCGCGTGCACTAGGAGGAGTGGTCTACCTTTTTGTTCTTGGGAAAAAATCTTGGAGGATCAACCATCTAAAATAAATTCTGAGGGTCTGTGGACGGCCTCCATTTGTCTTTGCATCCTGAGCTTCGACCTGCCTGCCACTCCTCCCGGGAGGCAGTGAACCACGGAGGCAAAAGTGGTACACGGCTTCCCCGCTGTGTGGCCTTCGACGGGTTACTCACCCTCTCTGAGCCTCTAGTCCCTCATCTGTCATGTGGGCCTGGTATTAGTATCTCCCGATTTTATTATTGTGAAGAATAAATGAAATAACCCATGTCAAATGCTTAAAAATAATGCATTGTTTGGGAACATGCATTGGGAATAATGCATTGTTAGAGAAGATGGAAAATAAATGCTAGCTATTTTGTTATTTCCTTCATTTATGCAATGCTTGTTAATATTTATAGTAAAGTTATTTGATGCCATTGGGATTCTGCAACTCTTTTCAACTTTTCAGATTTCTTTGCTAGTTCTAGAATTAAATCTCCCTTTTAAAAAACATGACATCCCTAAATCTTCTGGCAGAGAACAGCTACAACAGTATTATTTTACAGTTTTCTGTTTCTCAAGTAGGTTTGGCATTAGAAAAGGGGCTGGATTTGATGGCCTGGTTAGATCATATCTAATTACATGCTAATTAGAGTCTGATCATT